ATTGTGAACAACAAAAACATCGATGCTGTGCGCCGTATGATCAAATCAGACAGGCATGTGAAATACCATGAGATTCGGGCGTCGTCAGGCATAGGCATGAGTCAAATACTATCAATACTACACAAACATTTGGGTGTGAAAAAGCTGTGCTCTCGGCGGATCCTACACAATTTGACTGAGCCTCGATAAACGGATCGCGTCACTTGGTGCAATGCCTTGCTTACCAGGTTCAACAAAGGGGCATCAAATTTGATATGGGACATAGTAACAGGTGACGAAACATGGATTTATAGTTACGATCCCAAAACAAAGCAGTAATCGAGCGTATGGGTCTTTCGAGATGAGCGCGTGCAAAGTGCCTCTAAGCAGATGATTGCTTCTTTTTTTAATAAAACTGTACACGTGGCTACTGTTGCTTTGGAGAATCATTGTACCGTGAATAGTGATTGGTACACGACAATCTGTTTGCCGGAAGTTATTGACAAACTCCGTAAAAATAGCCGTAAACGCTGTATCATCTTGCACCACGATAATGCCAGTTCTTACACGGCCAGACAGAGAAATGAATTTTTGAACGTGAACAACGTGGACCTTATGAGCCATCCCGCGTACAGTGCCGACCTGGCACCTCGTGACTTTTATTTATTTCCAAAAATTTAGTTAAGTTTAATTAAGAAGCCAGTTACGCGGTCAACGATTTTCATCCCCTGAAGAGGCTGTCGAAGAGTATGAAAAATATGTTTCAGAGATTGTCACGGAGGAGTGGCATAAATGTTTTCAAAATTGGTTCATTCGTATGAAAAAGTGCATTAATGCTAACGGATAATATTTTGAGAAACAATAAACTAATTTCTGCCTATTTATAGTACTTATTTTTTTCTTATTCATTCCGGAAACTTATAGTGCGCTCCGCGTACAATTGAAAAGCATAGACACTTACCCTGTCCTATACAATTACATTTCATTGATTATTATAAATAAATATTAGACAACACATACGTTGCTCAGATCCCAAAGTAAGTAGCTAAAGCACTTGTGTTATGGAAATCGAAAAAAACGATGAAACCACAAACACTTAGATCCGAGACAATACAGAAAAGTTAGTTTTCTACATAAACCCGGCCGGGGATCGAACCCGGGACCTCAGAGATGGCGACACTATGAAAATCGGTTTGCAAGCTGTGCACCACTGAGGTCATCAATTACATAGCATCAACCCTTCTTGACATATGAAATAAACTATTTATGCACAAGAGCTTGTCGCCTTTTCCATCGGAACAAGGAAAGGTACCTACTAATGTTTGAAGAGACTGTATGGTGGAACCTTTGTCTACCTAAATAAATTGACACCATTGATTTCCTACAATACCATTTCAGTCCGACTGTGTTCGAAACATCATACCTATATTAAAAAAAAAAAACCTAAACATTTGAGATAACCTTCAAAAGATTTTTTGAAGAGCGGTGATACAAAAAATTATTTGATTATCCTTGAAAGAGCTAAAAATAAGTTTTTACGTTTAAAATTTTGATGACTCACTAGATACAGAGACAGGGCGACGCCAGGTAATTAAAAAGATTTTTATAAATATTTTGAAAAATAATTCATGAATGTCTGCTGCATATTAATAATTCTTCTAAACTTGGATGGAGAACGATTATCGTAATATCGGTTTATGTTAGGATTTTCAAATTTTTGTTGGCAATGAAATTTATTTTTTTCGGGTCTAGTGGACCTAGGACTAGTGGATCGTTTGCCGGAATAAACCGGTATCTGGGAGGTAAAGAACCTTAAGTGCCAAATAGTAATTCTTGTTACGGAGCGTTTTAAAGAGAATACGGCTCTTAATTAGGCATTTAAAATGAATGTTAAGGTAAAATAAAATGTGTTAATAACAAACGACAATGGAACTTAACGTCTTTGCGTGATTTTTAGCACCACAAAGTAATGTTTGTAAAAATATTTAAATTCCATAATCTCAGAACAGTATTAAAAAAAACGACCTCAAAAGTTCATGGAATTACATCTATTTGCCAAGTTTCATTGAAATCGGTTACCGGAAAGTGCGCGAAACCGCATTCATCCCCTACTTTGACATGCTTGGAGGTGGAATATTTTTTCAAATTTAAATGGACCACTACTGAGGTACTAGGTTTCAAACAAAAAAGAATCATCAAAATCTGTTCAAACAAAATCGTGTAAAAAACATACGTAAAAAAACAGTCAAATTGAGAACCTCTTTCGTTTTTGAAGTCGGTTAAAAATATGGACTTAAGGTTCTTTACATTTCAACTAGAGTTATATATATATATATACTGTTATAGTATATATGTAGTTATATATATATATATATAATGGTTTAACACATTTATTTCTGTAGACAACATTCGCTTACATTGAGAAATACTAGAGAAATATGAAAGCTTACAAAAATTTTTACCAACTAGCTCACTCTCACTCGCCTTATAAACCTGTTTCGTCAGCCTTCTTTGCATTCATCCCTTTTGCTTGTCCGAAGCACCGACGAAGAAATAGTGATAACGAAAGAGAAAAGGATGCTTAGGTGGTTTGAACATCTACTAACTTAAAACGAAAACGATTTTTTTTTATGATACCAAGTCACGGGATGAACAAGTCGTGCGCCTGGTGGTAAGCGTCAAACCTGTCCATAAAAGTTGCAGAGTCACTCAGAGCTTTAAACCGCACTGTCACTGCGCCTGTCACCCAGAGACATAAGTTGCCTTACTTACCCTTAAAAGTGGAAACGCTGTATAATGCAAACATTGGCAGATATAAGTAAGGTGGCAGTATCTGGGACGAATTCTTTCACAAGGAGCTCTACTGACACTAAATCTAAATCATGTACAAACTGTGACTTCAAAAACCCGCTATCTTGTAATTCTATGGATAGTGTGTAAGTCCATTTTAGATTTAGCAACTTCTTAATTTATTTAAAATTATTGTGTACTTATATGAGCTAAATTGCAACAGCAAAACGTTGGTTGAAATGGTGTGTGGTTATAGTTAGTTTTTTTTTTAATAATACCAAGTGCTAGGACGAACAACTAAGGCGCCTGGTGATAAGGGACACGTCTGTCTATAATAGTTACAGTGCCACTCAGAGCTTTAAATCGGAAAGATCTGAGGCGCATTGCAACTGCACCTGTCACCCTGAGACATAAGTTGACAAGTCCCATGTGCCTGTAACATTAGTTCGAATGCAGTTTGGTTATAAATGGCGTGACTGGCAGCTGGTAAAGAAGTCTGCTTACAGTGGCATGCAATCGTCAAAAGGCTCGTGTGAGTACTCATTTAGTTCCTGTCAACAATAGTACATAGGAAAGTATGTTTTATAGTTCATTTACATCGTTATTAATTACAAAACTAAAAGAACTATTATATTATTACCAACACTGAATATGTTAGCAGTAAAACATGAATTGTTCTGAATATTATTGGCGCTGTTGAACAAATAATAATTTCAATTTACATGGATTAAATTCGTATTACATTTAGATTTTCATATTCATTTTATATCTTTATTTGTTCGCCTCATGGTTTTACAAAAGAGCTTATAAAATGTTATATAGCTTTTATACATGTGACACTCTTGAAAGCGCTGAGAATTAAGAGAGCACTGCAATTTTGTAGCAGTAGAGCTCCTTGTGAAACAGTTCGTCCAGGGAAGTACTGCCACCTTACCTATTTCTGCGGCCAAGCAGTAATATGTGCGTTACTGCGTTCTGGTTTTGAAGGGTAAGGGGTGCTGGTGAAATTACAGGTACATGAGACTAATCAATTTATGTCACAGGGTGACGGGCGCAGTGGCAGTGCCCCTCAGATCTTGGTGAATAAAAGCTCTGACACTGCAACTGCTGTGGACAGACGTGTTCGTCCCGTCACTTGGTTTCATAAAAAAAAAATTAAAAATGAAATCAGGAAGTATTTTGTAATTTACATTTTAGTGATGACATAGCACGTATTTTGCTCAGCCATGGAAAACGTTCTTTGTTTGCATCTCCTAATTTTCCTAATTTAAGTTATCTCGAAGTTGCCTTTATTTAGTAGGTAATGTGGCCACTTGTTGAATATTGCTTTACTCTGATGCACTTACTTACGTTATTGTTTTGTGTCATGTTCATGTGCAGCAGAGTTGTATTTCAGTCATTCTTTAAAAAAAGTCATAATAAAATTATTTATAGAGGCGTATAGTAAGGGTGATTATATGAACTTTTATGATGCAGTCTTAATATCTATATATAGATACATCGGTAAGTTTAATATAAAACAGAGTCTTTAATGAACAAAATGCATTTAAAAATAATGCTAAACTATTAATAAGCATTTTCTTAACTATCATGCATTAACATTACCTATTAATAACGAATTGTAAAAACTATCTTTACAAGAAAGTCATGATCTTTTTATTTTTGTTGTAGATTATAATTACTATTAAGAATAGGTAGGCAGGCCGGCAAGCAGTGCAAGGCGGCGGTTAGGCTTCAAAAAGAAAAACCGAACTGAGAACACAATTCATACGTCTTGAAGGCGGGCAACTGTCTACATAAACATAACTCGACTACACGCCCCCGGTCAAAACATCCTTCCACGCACCTAAACCATAAAATAAGACAACCGGGCTAGAGACGCAACCGAAAATCCAGGCTCTATAATTATGTTCAGCTACCACCCGATCTACCGGCAAGCCAATTTAAATTTACTGCGAACGCCGCACGTGTCCCACAAAATGAAATCCCACTACCGCACAGAAACACGCACGAAAAAAAATTGAGAAAAATACATCGAAGGCGCCACCCCTTCAACGCTAGTGGCTGCTTACTTGAACCACGCCTGTTTCCGAACGCTACTATTTCTTTCTCTTTTCCACTTCCAGGTGTCCTGTCCACCCGTCTCGTTTCCTCAAGCGCCGTGGTTGTAGAGCTATAGCTTTTTGGTCAGTACGCGTTTGGTTGTCGCGCGCGATAGAGCGTCGTTGTCTACGCCGCGCGAAGTTGTCGCGGTGTGTCAAGTGTAGTGCCGTGTAAGAGGTGCCGAAGTGGCGGGTTTCCTTGCCGCAGGACGGGGGGCTCATGCCCCCTTCCACCAGCACCACATTGGTAAAAGTTAGTGTCCTGTGACCCCGTAAAAAAACTATTTGTTTGCTTGGGTGGACCTGTGAATGTGTTTTACAATGCCGACTTATGGAGGTTGTTTATGTTCATTTTTGTTTTTTTTACTACTTTATTACATTGTATCTGTTTGTGTTATTGAATAAAATGTTTATACATATGCTTACCTATATAATTATAATACACTCATAATATATATGTATTCCCTCTGTCTCTTTCCATATGGCTGTGTTAATCAAGATATGAATATTTTTTACTTAACATTTATATAAATAATACGAACAATACGCACTTGTAAAAGAGGTGTAAATAACATAGATAACTGAAAAAAAGGCAGTACAATTTTGTTTTTCTAACTCTGATACGCATTGATATCCATGACTCTACATTTCCGGTATAAAAACTACGAAATAAACAATTTAGAAGTAGGTAATGTAAATTCTAAAAAACAATATTTATAAAACATTGTTTATGCGATTGAGCATAGGTGTAGACCGAAACTTAGATACAGGCCTAAATTTAGCGTGACTCCAGACAGAAAACGCATTACGACCTTAAAAGTACGAGAATAAAAAAATAAAAAACTTCAGAGCTTAAGAATATTCTTACCATATAATTTTATGTTATTTTGATCCATGATCGACAGTAGAAGAAGTAGGTTTGGAACATTAGAAGTAAAAAACCTACCTTTGGAAAAAACAAACATTTTTTGTTTTTAAATCCTATAGATACCGTTTTCAGGATGATGTCATAAAAGTCAGAAACGTCGAAACTACACGGATTGTTATTGATAATTATTGTAGTATTGTTAATATTGCAGATGTTCAATTGATTCATATATAAGATCTACAGGTTATTGCAATTAATTCAATTGTATACATTGTGCCTGTCTCTCAGACTATAGTAACACAAAGCAGTAGTTTTAACATTTTCAAATTACTATCAAGTTGTATAGTTTCGTTCTGCATACTATAAAACCTTTTATTATGAAATATTCAACGCTCACTAAACTTTTCTTAATTAATTACACGGTTTTTTTGTGTAACCATATTTTTTTTACTGTCCCTTGTTTAACTATAATTAGTATTTGTATTTTTATTACTAACTACAGTGTTGACTGTCGAAAGGAAAAAGAGGCTAAGTGAATTTTTTATTTGTTCAGATTGGCCGTTTTGACAGATTTAACGTTTTGATTTTGCAATTCAGGAATAAAATCATTGAATCCGGTTAGCCAAAATTGAGTCTGATGGTTTTGAAATAAGTGTTATAAAGCTACGAAAGGCCAGATGAAGAGTATCTTTAACCAACGAACGTATACGAAAGAATTAATGTATGTTAATGAGCCAAAAAAGGTGTGTCAGGATTGTAATGGAAGGCTGTCGTCTCTGGCTACCCCAGTGGAAAAAGGGTGTGAAATGTATCTATGTATTATAAATTAAAAAATATGTTAATTTCGGGTACATGTAAAACTCATTTTCCACATAGATGTCGCTTAGCCTTTTTTACCCTTCAACGGGCGAAGTAATGGTAGATTATTAGCACATTTTTCGTTTATAAAATTATAAATGCAATTTACTTTGTTTCAACGTTTTTACTCGATTTTATCCGATAAATATCCATATAACATGGGTTTTCTTAATTATATTGGTAGATAACAAAATTTTTATAGCAATGTTTTTTATTACCATGATAATTGTTGTAATGCTGAATCGAATCTTCTCAGGAATATTATCCTAAGCTATAGAAACGTTTAAAAATTTCTATATAGGAATATATTTTTACCTGGCCTAAAATATAACTGCCGTATTGTGACACTTCACAATCACAAACAGTTACAATTATAAATGAACTAAGGTCTCATGTCATAAGGATTTATCTTTCAGCACATGAGGATTGCGAATACGTAGCCCTCGCTGCTATTCTGCCATAGGCTGTCATGGAAAGAAACGCTACCAACGAAGTCAATACATTTTAGGTTTTCTGATTACAAATCCTTATTTTATTACTGATACAGGCTAAATTAATATGAAACCGTGTTAGCAGAATCGTGTAAGCAAATGCGAAGAACCCGAGTCTTTGTGTTAGCACAAAACACTGAAGATAAAGTGTATTGTCGCAATACGGCAGATAGATATGTTAATAAAAATCATATGCCACAGTAGACCATTGTAAAGAAAATAACGGGTTGGCTGAAAAGTCCTTACAATTTTTACCATTGGATAATTTTAAACAAAAAAATATTTTTTTTTTTCTTTTAATAAGTTGTCTAGGTAATTTTAAAAATATTTTTGCGCGAATTTAAAGAAAAAGCGGGAAAGTTTTAAGTTGTATATAATGAAAAACGCCCAAAACTGGTGAACTGTAAGGTGTCGTATGTTATCAATATAACACCAAACCACGCACATCTTTACAAAGCTGTCAAAAACTATTGCTGTTATGTGGAGATAATGTTACCTCATCCATCGTATTTGCCAGACATATTGTCACTTGTTTCGGTCTTTAGAAAATTCTTTGAATGGACGCGACTTTGATAAAATATAAGAAACCATCAAATACCACAAGGATAATTTGAAATTTGCCCGCAAATATATATACGCAAAATGGCAATAGATTGCAAATCAACATTGCCAAAAGGTATATATTTTATTATTTAAAAAGTTTGATATTAATCTTTTTAAATGTTTTTCATTTATTTCTTGATACCGCACGGACTATTCGCTAACTGTTCCAATATTACTAGAATCTTTCCTAAAATCTTTCGTATAGTATAGTAACGACAGTTACTATAAAGGTAAAAAAATTGAAGTATACTACCATAATAAACAATTTAGTAACTCTCAAAGTATCAACGTAACTTGATACCGTAGCGCGTTTGTAATTTTACTAATAACACTATGTTCATTTATATTAATTATTAAAATAAATATTACGATAAGATTTACAAAGATAAATAAAAAAATAATTAATTATAACAGGTAGATACACGGCTTTAAAAAACCCGAGTGTTATGGACCATTGTCAAATTGTATTGTTCAATATTCTAACAATACATTTTAAAAAGACTTATCTGTTTTCGAAGAAACGTGCAAAAATATCTTTTATGCGTAAATCCGTCTATACCTGCCATGTTTTTAAGGATTATTTCAGAGTAGTTCAGAGTAGGTACTCTGAACTACTTCATAAGTCTTAAGTCATATGAAATTTGGGAAGATTAGCAGGTGTTTTTTTGTGTTTGAAGTTATTTTGGCTCATGCTTATAAACGGCAAACTTGGTGTATAATTTATATAGAAAATTTGGCATGAAGTAAATAAGTGGCAGACACTTACACCAATTGCTTGATCTCATATAGCGCACAGCTCAGGGAAAGTTTGTTTCGTAAACTAATTCTGCCGAGAATTGAACACGGAACCTCGTTATCTATCGCTCGGAGTGCTAACCGCTGGCCCAATGAGGTCGCCAAAGTGATAAAAAGGTTTTCTAAGTAAAAAATAATAGAAAGTACACTAAAATCTTTCATCTGTAGTTTATTATTATGCCAGCTCTCTTGACTACAGAATAATTTATTATAATACAGGAGTAACCACAGCCGTGGCTGCCTAATGGTTTGACTCCAACCTCGCACCTTTGAGCTTCTCAGAATTTATGTGCGAAATTTTATTTGACATTTACTTTTCGGTGTTAGGAAAACATCGTGATGGAACCTGCTTATCGAAGAAGGAGAAGAAGAAGAAGTTCACAGCCCTCGGAAAACGTGGGAATCCCCAACCCGCATTGGGCCAACGTGGCGGACTATGGCCAAAACCCTAAAAATAGAATATATATAATTTCATTAAGAAAGACGATATCCATGATATTAACCTTAGATCTAAGTCCAAACTAATGGTACCACGACTTCGTTTAACTAAGGTAAACGATTATTTTATGGGGAAGGAGAATATATTATCCTCATTTCCTAAGTTTAAAACTTACTTACTTAATTGAAAAGTCATATTAATGAAGAGTATGTGTTAGGTAAGGATCTACGGAAAGACAACACGAGTCTAGATTCCACACAATTATGATTCAAAGTGTATTCCATAGCATTTAAGTTTATTTGAAAAGAGCAATCCCTAGAGGTTCTTGCTCGTTCTTTGCAGGGAGGTCAGCGTAGTGAACGAGCAGTAGTTTAAAAATGACCTTTTCAAGTGTACAAATTTTACCTATGGAATAAATATTTATTTGACTTTGAATTTGACCTCGCCTATGAGGAGACCCTTGCCCAACAGTGGGACGTATAAATGACTTGATGATGGTATCTCACTAATCTTGTGTATGATAATGTAAGCGTGAATGATTACATTAATTTAATTCAATGTTTCTGTTTTGTTTGGCAGAAAGCAGTAATTGATGTGAAAAAAAACGAAAATTGTAAATAAGTCAATAGTTGACAAGGTGATAAAAAGTGTGAACAATGTCAGTCCATCTGTTGACTGCGGCTGGGTAATATACATCTTCGGCACATTGTCTATTACTAATGTCATTACCAAGTGGAAGACAGGCGCGATGGTTTGGAAAAATCTCCGGAAAAATAGTTTCATTTCCTATGTAGAAAAACTAATTTTTCTATATTGTCTCGGGCGATTTCCAGAACACAAGTGCTTTAGTTAACATATTAGATGTTGTTTAATGTTTATTTATTTGTTATTTGTTCCGCTCTTACGTCGTGTCCAACCAAAACACTGTGAGAGCTTATACACACGACCAGTAAAGTTTTGCATACGTTTTATTGAGCCTCTTCTTGAAACGCGTGTCAGCGCGTAAAAAATACGCCGTGTGCTCAGTACACTAATTTGTAATTACATTACTATAAGTATATTTCGGCTGTTATTAAGGGAAATATTTGTCCAAGAAAGTACTGCCACATTACCTATTTCTGCTGCCAAGCTGCGTTCCGTATTTGAAGGCTAAAGGTGCTCTTGAAATTTCAGGCACATTGGACTTGTGAACTTATGTC